ACCAAAATTTTTGTGCAAGTTATTTTTAAATATTTAAGATTTTTTTTTAAAAAATACTATATTACAGCAAGATAAAGGTCATTAATTATATTTTGTTTTAGTAAAAATATTTTAAAATTATGTTTAATTTATCTCATTTGTATTTATTCATTTATTGTATTTATGTTGTGATTAACAAAATCATTGATTTACCCCAGAAAATATTAAGCTCTTGAAAAGTAAGCAACATTGCCTTGATAGGATTCTCTGTGTCAAAAACATTTTCTACCAAGAAGCAAATGAGAATGTTAGATGAAGCTTCTCCTGCATTTATGGAAAACAAATATGTCTACCTTTAAATAGTGTTTGAATCAGGAGTTTGAAGAGTATCACATCAGATTGTTTTGGAGATCTTTTAAAAATTGTGGTCCATATTTCTAAGTCCAACCTACCAGAATAAAGAAACTTTGGTCACTAGTTTGGGAAAGAAGGTAGGCCTACAGATCAAAGTAATTAAGGTTTAACCTTTGAAAGGCTGCCATCTTGTGGCAACAAGGGGTAATTTTTAGTAGTTGTTTAATGGCTCTGGCATAATTTTGGCTTCTACAAAATGTGTACATACCTCTTTTGAGAAAAACAAGACCATCTCATAATTCTCACCTAGTTTTGAATGGAATAGCCTTTCAAGAAAGGAAATGATTGGATTGTTTACCTGATGACAAAACCCACAAGGGTTTTGAAGGGAGGAAGGGCTCCAGAATGCTTCCTCACTCTAGTAAACTGGATGTTAGAAACTTGATCATAGCAAAATTACTTTATATGAATGATTATTTTGCTATTTTAGAGCTAACAAATTATTTACTATTTTATTCATGCCAGTACTTATGAACATGCAGTTTGATAGTTACCTGTTGAATTTCAGGAGAACTGAAGGTAATAGTTTTGTTTCTTTTCTGCATTAGAAAACTAGGTGATCCAGTAAATTAGTTTGCAGAGAGTTCAAGGACTCAGTCTGTATAGTGGAGGCTAGAACTCTGTCATAGAAGGTTTTTTTTTTTTTTTTGTAGTTGCTCTTTAGGCACAGAGAAATTCTTGGGCAAATTCAAAATTCCTGCATTTCAGTCTTAAACCTTGGTTCACTGTGGATGTAGTAGGTAAGCCTGGGCTAAGAGTAGCTTCTCCCGTTAGATCCTGGGGAGAGTTGCTATTGTTAGGATATGGATTGGCCTTTATTTTTGTTTTGGAGATGAACTCTGTATGGCTCCAGGATAACCTTTCTTAAAGCAAAGAGATTCCACGGAGTAAGCTTCAAAATGAAAACAATAAAAGGAACCTTCGTATCCCTTAAGAAAAAGGAAAATTGGAAAATGATTTTTGATAAAATTACTGTCCCTGATTGCCATAATTAATGTGGTCACAAGTGAAGCCGAGACAGCATGTCTTCCCCTGTCAGCTGCTGAGGAGAGCCCGATTGACTTCAGAGCCTTTCAACTGCAGACAAGTTCATCCTGAGCGTTTTTATGTCTGCAACTTGTTTCATCACATGTTGGTTTTCTTAATCCGACTGTGATTATTTTTAGGTACAGCGTTTGTTCTTTTTTTTTTTTCAATCTTACTGGGTGACTGAAAAGTCTTAAACAATGTTACTTTGGAGGAGGAATAAAGAGTAAGAGACCTGTGACTTATAATTATGGCTCCTTGGACAAGTGGGTCAGTTTCACTGATATATCAAAATGTGTCATCAGTGAACAAAATATACTAAGTACTTTTGTTTAAGAAACCAAATTTAAAGCTATTTCATATCTACAGGGAGGGAGGGAGGGAGGGAGGGAGAGAGAGAGAGAGAGAGAAACCATTTACAAGTTAGGTTTTTGTTTTGATCAGCAAACATTTTAAGAGATACCTGCGACTTCTGGTGTTAGTATGTCTTGATACTAGTCATCTGTAGAAAGAACTCAGGAGCCCAAGTTAATAAGAAATACTTTAATGTCAAAGAATTGGCTATATGTATTCATTTTATGCAAATAGGGTTTCAAGGACACTTACATAATTCTGGGTTTATTCTCTTCCCTTAGCCAGTTTGTATTCAGGGAATACAAATTTAATACTTTAGATGAAATGAAATATAATTTGGAAAATAATCATAAATAACCAATTCAGATTTTTGGATTACTTTATCTGTAGCATCTATTAACATGCAAGCGTACTTAATGTGGGTGCTACACTGATATTTGTAAGATGTAAAAGCCTAGAGCATACCTTCTGCTGATGCTTTTTCTCTGTCCAGCAAAGTACTAGAAGAAGTAGTTAATAAGCTAAAGTCTCTCTGTGAAATTCTATTTCTGAATAATAGATCTGATAGTAGATTTGACTATTTTTGTTTTTAAAGACTAAAGCTCTTCAAGCTGGCATTTCTTTACCTGATATCTTCAGTCGCCCTGTGACTTTTAAAATAGGGAAGGTACCCAAGTGAGAGATGTGTGTGTCTCTAGGTAAATGTCACACTGAATTGGGTCTCATTTTTGAGACCCAGGAATGAGAGGGACAGAGTAGAAGACTGCGAACCTAGCAGTTCTTTCCAAAGGTGCACACTCCCGTATTTCTAAATACAGCGTAGGACCGCTAGAATGGAAAGGTCAGAAACCATCCGGAAAGAACAGACACAAAAACATCATGTGTACCTAGCATAAATCTAATTACTACTTTGTAGTGATGGCAGAGTTCACACCCTAACCATGATTTTCAGATCCAGGGATCCTCCGGTTCTGTTAAATTACCACTACAGCAGCCAGTCCAAGAAGCAGAATCAGAAAACTTCATAAATATTGAGTGCCATACAAGTATTCGGTGGTGACCAGTTCTTTTATTACCTTTCCTCTGGGAAGAACAGTTTGAGTTCATCTGAATATCAAGCAACACTGATATATTGCTCATAAGTCTCAAAGTGACATACTGTAGTCTTAACTGAATATATTGAGTTTAATTGTATAAACCAGTTGCTTGTACTAGCTAGATGTAATTATCTGAAATATTTATTATTGATTTTTATAAGTACTTGTAAATGAGGTGCTTTAAATCTAGAAGAATCTTTAGAACATTTTTCCTGAAATTTTATTTGTGTGTGTGTTTTGTTTGTTTGTTTGTTTGTTTTAGGTACTGGGGATTGAGCCCAGGGCCTTGTACATGCTAAATGAATACTCTACTACTGATCTACAACCCCTGTCCTTATTTCTGTGATTCTTGTAGCACAATCTCTTTTTTAAAAAGGAAAATAAGTCCCAGTCCCTCTCTAAATTATCAGTTTGTGACTGTTATTTGAGTTAGGCTTATCTAAATTTTAGAGTGATAATTTTTCATTTTCTACACAGATAACACAACAGTTATTTTCATAGAGTATACCTCTATGAACTAATCATTATTGGCTTGATAGAAATTTTCTCAAACCTTTTAAAACTTAGAAATGTAGCTTATATAATAGTCACATATACATACACCTGACGTGAACAAGTCAGTGGCATCTTCACCAGCCTTCCACTAATGTTGCTGATGCATTTGGTGCCACTAAAAGTCATAGTGTGAAGAACAGGACCCACAGTCTAGACTGCAAGTTTTAATTAAACTTCCTCAGCCATAACCTGATAAGAATCAGGTCCCATCTAGAAGTTACCAGACTCTAGGCCTGTATTTTGTGAGCCAGTGTTAGTGTTTACTGCCAGCCTTTTGTAGCAGTGCCGTTTGCAGCTTGACTGTATGTGACATTTGGTAACCACTGTTTATGCCTAAAAGCAGTTCAGATTTTATAGACCTATTCATGATTATTTGGATAAGCAGGGTAGGTAAATTTCAATTATATTTAAAGTGCAATTAGGAGATTCTAGAGTACAACATTCTCTCCAGGAAAAAAAGTTAATGATTTGTAGAATGTTCTAGAATGAAAAAAATTGAACATAGGATTTTTTAACAAGGTTTATACAGTAATATTTTTAAAGGTTTGCTACTTTGTGTTAATTTAAATCTTCAAGGAGAAATAGACGCACCCTAGGAAAGGAGACTTGCATTGTTAATTTTTGTTTCTTTGTTTGCTAATCTGAACATGCATTTTTTTCAGTCAGAAGTCTTTTAAGTAAGTTTTGTTACCAGATAAAGCCCATTTTCCTAGATGAATAACATTTTCCTAGAATGAAAGAGACGT